TTCGGGTGAAGTTAATATTTTTTTAATGATCTGGGGAGTTACGAAGTTCCTTTTTTAATTAACGTGGGACTAAACTGACTTTACATATCTTATTTGAAACCGCCGAACTCATACGCTGCTCCCATCAGCGTGTTGAATTTGGCATTTAGAAAATAAAACGTTGTTGCAATATGCTATTTGCCAAACGATCATCTTCAGCGATTTGATCAAAGTCAAAACGCCAACCTCACTTGAAACGCCAAAAAATGGCTGATCCGCCATTATCCAAACACAGCCATTATACTTGAGGTTTGTGTACCTCAAGCATTTTTCTTAAACCCATTATTCTTTGGACGTATGAGAGATGAAACATGGAAACTTGAGCCAAATATGATACTCCCTCAGTTCTTTTTTATTAGTCCGTCTTTCCTTTTTGGTACGTTTTTTTTATTTGTCATCCTTTCCCTTTAAGGAAAGTTTTTGAGAAAATACCCTCACTTTTATTACTTTTACCCCACTTACTTTTTGCAAACTACTTTCTCTTTCCTACTTTACCATCACTTTACTCTTCTTAATACACTCTCTTTCCTACTTCATCATCACTTTACTCTTTTTAATATACCATATTTCCTACTTTATAATTTACCCTACACACTCTATACTTACCCTACTACTTTATTATTAAAACCCGTGTCAAACCCTCAGAGGACTAATAAAAAAGAACGGAGAGAGTACTAGTATATAAAGTATAAATAAGGACATTAAGCTCAGGCGCTCCGCCCGAGCAAAAGTACTCGAGTGGGGGTGATGATTGTTACAGGTTTGAGATGCCAACCATTCAAATGGAGAATAGCCATTGGAATTGGTCGTACATGATCAAGAGGTATAAAAAAATGCTTGCATACATTATTTTTAAATAGAAAATACACAAGACTTTTTTGGAAACCAAATTCGGTACATGAGCTGATGAGCAGCAATACACTCGGAGGGGATTCCCACCTGCGGACCATCACACTTGAACAGGCTACCCACGCAAGTGTGGAGCTACAGGGTTCGCTGACCCGTGAATATATTGGACAAAACAAAACCTGTCATCATGTGATATCCCAAAAGATATGTGATATCCCAAAAGATAATATCGTTTTACTGCAATCCTCCACAAGTGAAATTCCTTCAAAAATATGTTCAGCGTCTGATTCAACCTCCGCTCTTCGCCAACCTAATTCCTCCGCCCATCGAACCGCTTTCTCAATTTGTTGTTATGGTGCACTTTTAGAAATCACGATTTTTTGTGACTTTATTATGAATATACCACATCATTTTGAACAATTTTAATGATTGTTGACATATCTAGAGTCATTTGATCATAAATTGAATGCACCAGATTTATTATTATTTTTCATAGGAAGTGCACGTTTTATTTGAACTCATTAACCCATATTATTTATTATTTTTCACTTGATGCTTCTTGATATATATAAATTGAATGCATTAGATTTAGAGTCCATTTCATGACCATGTTTTTTGGCTTATCAATCAACTTTTTCACCAAACACATAACTTTTGATTTTGCACGCTTGATTGTATAATGATAAGAAAAGGTAAGGTTAGAGTTACTTTTATTGATTGAAGTTACTATAGAGAATCATTTTAGTTATTTTGTCATAATTTTTTTCATTATGTAATTAATAAAATATATTTTAAATATAATTTTTCATAAATCAACATAATCAATCAATTGGGCCACTTCAGTTAGAACTTCATAAATTTCAACAAAATCAACCAATACATCCAATTTGGATATTATCAAACGGGCTCTTATTATTAATTTTCATAAGAAGTGCACTAGATTAAAAACGGGACCGGGACAACCCGAGAAAAACCGAGACGGTTCGGGATGTCCCATAAAAAATATGCAATTGTGAAATGTGATATAACAATAAGCATAACATCAAAATAAAGACGTAAATATTTTTGCAAATATAACTTCCCTAAAAAGTTAAGTAAAACCTTTAATTAACTATTTTTAATTTTTGTCTTGTAAATTTTTTGGTCCCCCCAATCTTGTGTTTCCTCTAGTAGAATAGTAGTGATGGTGTGAATTTCCTATTATGTATGTTTGTATTTTTAACTAGTTTTATTAGTTCTAGTTGTGGAAATTACACACTTTTGGTGTAATACTTTATTTTCGTTAATTATTTGTAATTTATTTAGATTAGGATTATTCTGAGCTTAGGATAGGTCAAAATCATCCCAAGAATCAAAGGATGGATCCTAAAGACCAAAGAATGTGCAAAAGGGAGAAGATCAAATGAAGATTTTGATATTTGTTCAATACTCGGTCTAGTATTGCCAATACTCGGTCAAGTATTGATCGGATACGCTGGTCAAAATCAAATCTGGGAGCAAAAGAACGTGGTTAAATATTTGATGAAAATCCTGTCATACTCGGTCGAGTATGCCTATTTTTCACAATTTCCTAGAAATTCGCTCTCATACTCGGTCCAGTATCCCGAATACTGGATCGAGTACAGAACCCTGCCACCTCCATTTTGCTATAAATACACTCCCTTTCCTTCACATTAAAAAACACCCCTTCTTCCATACTCTTAAGCTCAGTTTAGAATAGTATTTCTTTTATATTTTTATAGCATGTTTAGTCTCCAAATGAGGAGCTAAACTTCCATTTCTTGGTGTTGCTCTTGAAGCTTGTTGATTATTGAAGTTGTGAGTTATTTTCTTAAGTTCTTCCCTTGAATATTAATTCTTCCTTTAATCTATCTATATATTAATGTTGGGGAGTGTTGCTAAGATGACAATTAGTTAACATCTCGACATTAGTTATAGTAGTATTCATTTACTTCCTATATATTAATGTTGGGGAGTGTTGCTAAAATGACAATTAGTTAACATCTCAACATTAATTATAGTAGTATTTATTTTCTTCCTCTATATATTAATATTGGGGAGTGTTGCTAAGATGACAATTAGTTAACATCTTGAAATTAGTTTTTTTTAATGATATCTTGACATTAGTTATAGTAGGATTTATCATCTTTAATATTCTTCCTTGAATATTAATTAATTCCTATTCATATTTCATATTAATATTTTGAACATTACTTAAATGATCAACTAGTTTTGTTTCATATATTAATTATTACTAGAATCGATCGACGAATACGCTTGTTAATCGTTGATGGTTTCACAAGTAAGTAACTTCGGTTTATTAATGCACGGTCGTGGTTAATAAACTTAAGAGGGATTAATTTTGTTGGTTAAACCGAAACCGTTGTGTTGAGGTTATCAATTTCAATTGATTTCATCAAGGAGTTAAGAGATTAAATGCTACTATCAAGTCGGTATATGGCGGTGTTCTATACTTGACTAATAGTAAGGGTTATTAATGAACGGTCATTGTTAATAACTACCCTCAATGAATTGGATATACTTCTCGATTGAGTATTCGAGAGGGGATAAGTTATAGATATGACAATGATCGACTAAAATATATCAACAAGTGGAAAGTAGCAATGCCAAATCCTTTTTATCTTTGAATTAAATCACATATAAGTCGTTCATCTTCGTATTTAATTACATTAAATCACTCAATCCCAAACCCCCCCTTATTTACTAGTTTTACTAAAAAGAGAATTATTCATTTCCATGTGGATACGAACTATACTTCACCTATACTACATATAAGTGCTAGTATCGAATATTATTTTGACGCACCATGACAAAGTGCACGTCAAATTTGGGGCCATTGCCGGGGAAAGACAATTAAATACGATAAAGAAACAAAAGAAACAAGACTAAGAGAGACATGAAATACGATAAAAGTACACTAGGGAAACTAAGGACTAAAAAGTTTTAATTGGGTTTGCCTATTACATAGCATTGGAAATTTAAAATAACATATTAATTTCAAACGGGACACCGGGAGGGACATGATATTTTATAGCTATCCCAGTCCCGTCCCGGTTAATATCGGTGCGGGACCGGTTCGGGATGAAATAGTTGCGCCCTAAATGGATCGGCCCTAAATGGATCGGGATAGTTTCAGAACGGTATCAGGATTTTTCGGTTTGGGACACCGGGACCTGGATTTTTGCCCACTCCTACCGAGAACGCCCCTCAAAATACCCCCGGGTCGGGTCCTAGGCCCGGGCCCGGTCAATCGGGTCGGGCTAGGCCCAGGCCCCCAAATCCCGTACAGTGACTGTCCGGTCCGGTTCCCGGGCCGGTCAGACCGGTCCTGGGCCACCCCTATGCACACACAGAGTATGTGAGTTGTGTAGGAACTCCAATTTTAACCACATTCCCTCACTAACCTTGCAACAACAACAACATCTATACTTAATTAACTCAACTAAGTCCTCTCCCGCCTAAAACTTTCAGGATATTTTCGTAAATTCAATTTTGCTTATCCCTTTATCAGCCCCGTCGATTACTTCTACGTTTCCTCCGCTCCTGTTTCAGAAGTGGTTCTCCTGCGTTTCCTCCAACTAGGTCTTCAGAATTTCTGGCTTCTCAAAGCGTCCTCCTTCTACACGCGAGCAAAGAGCTACATCAATTCTCTTTATTCTCGGTAAGTCCTGCGTGATATTTATCAATCGATTTTAATTTGAAGGGCTAGAATCAATTTCATAAGGTTGTATTGATTTTGATTTTGTGTTGGTTTTGTAGGGATGGCATCAATTATGTTCTTTCAAAAGTTTATCCACTTGCCTCATCAACTTATGTATGATTTTTGTATTGGATTCATAGAATCACATCTGCTTTCATATTCTTGATATTTACATATCCCCCATCCCTAACGTATATTTCATGATATGTTAAATCCTATATAACCTGCTATATCATTTCCATGAAATTATATAGCTTTATGAAACCACCACTTTTATGCTATTAGTTCTATAATTGTACCACAACTTTTATGTCTATGATTTTTCACTTTTCTTTTCATTCCAGCTCATTTTGTTTTGAGAAATGGTCCTATCTAGGACTAAAAAAGATCATATATACCTAAATAGGAGTTAAATGATTTTAACTCCTAAATAGGACCTAATTTTCTGTGTCTACCATATTTGCCCTTAAGTCTTTTATTTTTACTTTTCACTGTGACAATGTCAACAAATTCTCACGCGAGGCATCTCGGTCTCTTCCAGGGGAAGAGGAGCTTGGCCGGTGATGCAATCAGGATGGTACAGCGACGCGCCAGCGGCAGTGCGGCGGCCGGACGGCATGGCGACATAGCGGCTGCGGCAGAAGGCCTAGGTTGTATCGGGCAACTCGGCGGAGATGGGATGGCGACACCGCAACGGCAGCTGGCTGGAGGCCCTTCTCCTTTGAATTCTTTAATTTGGTTGTCCTCCTCCCTTCTCGGTGGTTCCATGGCCACACATCAGCTACGCCGATCTTTAGTTTGTTCTTGTTCGTTCTTTTTGTCCGTTGCCCTGATTTCAACCATATTTCAGATCCGTGCTGTATTAACAACGGATTGTAGCATTGTTTTTAATTTCAACCATCATCTTCTGTAATTTCAACTGTTAGGAAGCTGCAACTGTAGCATCGTTTTTACTACATGTTAATTTTTTGTAGAAGATGAATTGCTGAAATTCCCAAATTCTTTTTATTTTGAAGATGAAAGTTTACAGGATGTTTTTGTAATCCTTTGAACCTTTTGGCTGTGATTGATAAAAAATACCGAATGATTGCTTCCTTTTCTTGTTACTACTTACTACTCCGTAACTTTTGGACCTACAGTTGGAGGAAAATACTACTGTTGTATTAGTATAGATTGCCTTTTTTTATTGTTCTATGTATTTAGTTTAGATTGCCTTTTTAGAGAATGACAATGTGTTGATAAATGATTAATATAATTGTAATGTCATGACATTGTCATAATTTAAACGATGACAATGTGTCAATGTCAACACAATAGACAATGTCATATTTATAAATTGTGTTAACATTATCACATTGTTAACAAAATGACATTAATTTTCAAAAAAAAAACTATATCCTTATATTTTCATAAAATGACATTGTATATTGCATTTTCATTGAGATGCCCTTTTTTATGTCTTTGACATTGTCAAAACATTATCATTGACAATGACATTGTCTATATATAAGTATATAACATTGTTATTGTCACGACATTATTTTAATTTTATTGCAATATATGTTTTAGTCAATGACATACATCACATTCTCAATTTATACAATGACTTGATAATGTCGTAAATTGATAAGATGATAGTGTATCTCAATGACAATGTCATTGGCTTTAATTTGTTATGTCATTGACATTGTAATGTCATTGACATTGTTACGACATTGATAATGTTATGTCATTGACATTGCAATATATATGACCACACAAGTGATATTGTCATGTTATTGAAATTTCGTTGGTATTTAGTTTTTTCCCATGTTTATAACAGTGTGATATTGATATAGTTTTGACAATGTCATTTTTATAGCATGACATTGTAATGTCATTGACATTGTTACGACATTGATAACGTTATGTCATTGACATTGCAATATATATGACATTGTCACGACATTATTGACATTATCATTGTTGCAATGTCATTTTATAACATTGACATTGATTTTCATATAATCATTACTTGACATTGTGACCTGTTTCCGCTACTCCAAACAGTGTTCAAACAATGTTCGCCATAAAAATGTGTGGAAACGCAAATGTGCATTTTATATTGGGACGGGGGATTATGAAATTAATCAAATTAAAATGTACACAAAAGCATAAATAAAATCATATAATCCAAATCAGGCTTCAAATGATATTAGAAAGGAGCAAAGAATGTAAAACTTGATCTGCTGTGCTAAATGTGACTCAAATCAAAGAAAGAGGCACGAACTAAAAATTATGCTTGCAGCAAGTTGAGCCTTGCGCCATTATTGCTTGCTTCTCCATCAAATCATTACTTTCAATACTTAATTTTGCTCCTTTGCTTTGATTGATCTCGTAGAGGAGGACGCACACCGCAAAGTCGAAGGTCTTCTGGCAACGATAAATCAACGCTCAAGCGTCTGGGCACATGTACGACGGCGGCGGCATTCTGCGATGGCAGCGGCGGCGTTCTGTGGTGGTGGCGTCGGCGATCTGCAATGGCGGCGGCGATACACGATGCGGCGGGGACAATGTTTGATGGCGGTAGTGAATCCCGTGATGCAGGGGAGGTTTGCACCAAGGAACCCCAACAAGTAACACACCAACAGAATGAGCCAAAGACGTCTGAATAAGTCCAGAAGAGCTTGGGGTTATTTTTGTCCGTACAGATGCAAATAAGTCCTATTTAGGGTTTAAAAAGTAGGAGGTCCTATCGGCATACCAAGCCCATGTTTTAGTCTCATTAGAGTCTTTTTCCCTTTTGTTTTCATTTTTTCTTTACTTTGCAGGATATGCATTGTTATTGTCATGTGTGGTAAGAATTTACTCTTTCATTGGTAATTGAGTGGAATAGATGAAATATGGATGAAGGCTTTGAGAAGGAGGTACAAGGCCGGCTTTATGGCCAGTTAACCCAGGCAACTGCCTAGGGTCTCAAAAATTCATGGGGCCTCAAAATACAAAGTTAGTAGTATATTTTATATCTGGAAATTGGATAATTCTTTGACTCTCAGGCTTCCCGATAGACACGAATGACTCTCCATTCCTCTTTGCTCCTTCTGACTTTTGCTCTCTAATTGAGTATGAGTAAATAAAATGTGGAGCAGTAAATTTGTAATGAGTCTAATGACCCCACTTGTTTTAGTAGTTACGCTAGTGCTAAATGCCCACAGCCCAATTTACCTTTTGTCATTATTTAATTTGTATGCACTTCTTTTTCATTTTTTTCTTGATAATAATTACTAGTACTATTTTGCATTGCATATATGTTTAGCATACTTTTTATCTGTTAAGTTTTTTTTTTCACTTTACTTGTTCCCATGTTTGTTTGATTAGTTATTTCCTCCCTAATTTTACACTTCAAAAGGAAAAAATACAGGTATTATAAAGTACAATTTTGGTGCATTTTGTATATATCACATTTAAATTAATGTTTCAAATATGGTGTATTTGTATACATTTTATCATTTTTATAACTTTGTGTTATACAAATCACATCTACTTCCTTACTAATAAAGTAGAACCTTCTAATTGAAATTGAATTTTCAATTAATTGCTATTGAATCCAATTAGTGAATAGTCATTAATGGTAATTAAGTCCTAAATTCATAGTATTTACTCATTTGATTACTATTGAGTCCAAATAGTGAATATTCATTATATTAATTGCAATTAAATCCTAAATTCATAGTATTTATATATATTACGGAGGAGAAAAATTCACCCCCGGAATTCCGGAGTAGAACCACCGTCTACATGATTTTTTAGCATGTTCTTCATGAGGTTTAGATTATGTTCACAAAATTTCATCTTAAAATTCGATTAATAAGTCAGTTAAATACATTATTGAAAAGTACTGCATTTTATATATAAATATTTTGACGTAGTTTTTTCAATAATTTTTTTAATTGACTTCCCGATCGAATTAGTTTTCCTGATAGGATACCCAATTAAAACAATAGTTTCTGTTGAAAAATATGCGATGAAAATGTCTGTGTATTTTAAACATAAGATATAACGATGAAAAACTAATTGATATAAATTTCTCATTTATTTTAAAATTTTTACATTTTTTCTTTCAAAAATGTCTAATACATTAATGAATAAAATATAACCAAAGTAGGATGTGCGATTAGTGTAAAAATCAACATGATTAGTATATATATTGAGTTTGTGTCATTTTATTCCAACAAATGGAATCACAAGAGCACATTGAGGTCTTAAAATTTGTAGAAAATGCACAGTGTAAGTAATTATTATTAGTCATATATATTGTTAAATAAACTCCATCTATACGTCTTCTAAAACTAATTCCAACTCATCTTTTAATTTCCTATTCCCATAAATATTGTCGCATTACCTACAATATTCATCAAGGAAGTGCCAAGACAAAATTGTTGCATGCCGCCTCTTTGAATATGGGATGAAGTTGTGCTGATATACGAGCCATGTTCTAAGGTTTTAGACGTTACGCCAACAAACATCATGAGTAACTAACTACTTGCTATCGTTGATCGATGGCTTAGGAGTTACATATATTAGTTCAATTAATATTATTCCTTCACACACCGATACTACTTTCCATGTTGATATGCACAATGTCAAATATGATCTTAATAGCGCTTCAATGGTTGGATTGGCCAACCAAGTCCTTCATTTGAAAATCGGAGCCCCGATAATGTTATTGGGGAATACCGAGTATTAATCATGCATAAGTTTTATTCAATAGAATGTAATTGGTCATAACCAATGAAAAACAAGTATGACAAGTCATAATTTGAAAAGTTACCAAAGATAAAATTTATTTATTAAAAATCTCATTGTCACCATATGACAACTTTATTCAATTTCGAATAAAGCAATTTCTTGTGATGGTAAGCTTTGCAATGATAATCAATAAAAGGCAAGGCTAAATTTTGCCAAAAAAAAGGTCTCACATAAAATATGATTTATACCTTGAAAGAGAAGTTTCATTAATGATCAATTGTACATTGTAATACCAAGAGTAATGCGTACATATATCTTAAGATATTCATATGTTCAAAAGAAACAAATTTCTTCACTAAGACGATGATTGAATGTCGTTTATAAAGAGGTTTCCCAATTTAAACCTAATAATGCGACGTTTGGTTACAATGTAATGTGCAGTGTTACATTACAATGTCGATTTTTAATATATTCTGTTTAGATAAATTACTATTCACAATCAACAAAAAATTATTTGAAGTAAAACAATTAATTGTTTTTATATTCACAACAAAAAATTATTTGAAGTAAAAAAATTATAAAGTATTCAAACATTCACAACTTTTGCTTGGGGCAACGCCCGGGTAAAACACTAGTTAGTATGATATGTGAATATTAAGAGTCTGTTTGGTATCATTGGAATTGGCTGAATCGATTGATTCTGCTGAAATTTATGAAATTATGGCTGAAGTGGATGGACCGGTTGATTCTGTTGATTTATAAAAACATTATATTTAAAATATTTTTGAATAATAAAATAAAGAAAAAATTACGAAGTATATGAAAAATAGTTAAAATGATCTTCTATAGTAAATTCGGTCAATGCAGTCAGAAAAGTAACTTTAACTTTATCTTTTCTTATTATTATACAATTCAGCGCGCGAAATCAAAGTTTACATATTTGGTGAAAAAAATGTCTTATAAGCCTGATAATCCGAAAAACACGATCATGAAATGGGCTCTAAGTCATTTCCGCCTAGGGCCTCAAAAATGCTCAAGACGGCCCTGAGGAGGTATGGACTAACTATAAAAAGTATACTACTATTTTTCACCTATGCATGCTTTCAGTCTCATTGAAAATGCTTCTATCCAGCAATTCCAATGGCAATTGTGGCATTGAAGCTGGAATTTTAATGAATACATCCTTGAGTGAGAGTTTAATGTAATATAAGCTTGATATGATTCCTATCATGGGAATTTTTCCTTTGGTTTTACGTACACTTTAATATGGCTACAATAAAAAATGGGAATCTTCCTGAAAAGTTAAAAAAATTGGTTGTTAGATGTTTTGCAGTTCTTTTCAACCCTTAGTTCTGAGAAATTGATGGTGAACTTCAGCCTACAACTCAGGGTTGGAACTGATATGATGGG